CAGTTTTCCACAATCCATACACCCCTTAACACAATTTTTCTTACTGTAGTAAGAAAAAAAGAAGATAAAGAATGCTGTAATTCCTATTTCCTAACAACCTAATTATCCAGCAGAAAATTGTGCATTACAAAATAAAAGGCAGGCATAACAACTTAATAAAAAATATGACAACACCAGTGCATCATCAATCAGATAGCGTGTTAATAAAAATTCTGCAAACACATAAAACATCCCAAAACCATAATCAGTTCATCTAACCAAGATTTCTTAATCAGTTTCCTCACAATCCAAAACACCCCTTTATGATAATAATAACATGGTTTTCACAACCACCATAAGCCTCTGACTCTTTAGTAGGACCTCATATGTCCACAAGTTTCAATCCTTTAAATAAGACGAATCATCAGTGCAGGATATTGGTGACACTTCTTGCAACACCCCAAATATAATAAAACATCACATAATTTGGAACCATATTATTTTCAGCAAAAAACAACTTATGTGAAACTATCAAATAAAAGAAATACATAACATATAAATGAAATTGCGCTTAAATTTATTACCATAAAAACACCAAGAACACAAAAAAGAAAAAGAAAACGAACCTCTTAGCTCTTTTGGGATCAATAAGAGCGAGTTCAGCTAGTTTATCAGGAGCCATAGCTTTCTTCACGCCATCTATCATCATCGCCGAGTCCGCCTCAAACGACGTCGTCGAGGACCCGTCCATGGAGTTGCTGTGCCGGTGTTGCCCCACCCTCCGCTCGCCGCCGCCCCTCCCTCCGCCGCCCCTCTCCTCGCCGCCGCCGAATCCGATCCCGTCAAAGAAATCGGAGCCCACCGACAGACTCCTCAGGTGCCCGCCGGCGGGTGCCCCTGAAGGCCTCGGCCTTCCTCCGGACTCGTCGGAATCTACCGCTATCGGCACCGCGCCGGAGGCCCCCGGCGAAGGCAGAGGGAGCGGCGAGGGGAGCGTGGAGATGTCGAGGTCGGAGGCGTCGAAGAGGAGCAGGTCATCGAAGTTCGCGGCGAAGCGGAAGGACGTGTCGGAGTGGGAGCGGCGGTGGTGGGACCCACGCTCCGGCATGCGTTCAAGGTCCACCGTCAGCGGCGGCTTTCCGGTGAACTTCGGGTCCATCGAAGTAAGAATAAAAATCCAATCTTTCTTTCTCTTCTTCCTTTTCTTTCTTGGATTGTTATTTGTTTTTGTTCTTGTTGGTGTTGGTGATGGTGAAGAGAGAGAAAGAAGAAGAGGGTTGTTCAGGTGGTTGTTGGGTTGTGGTTGTGTGTGAGTTTGCTGATGAACAAGTGGAAGCAGACAAGAAATTGACTTTAGTGAGCAAAAGTTGAGGAAGTTGTGTGAAGGCAGTGGTCTCAAAGAGCATCATTAGTGTTGGGATTAGAGATATCTGACGGCAATGTTCATTGGTGGCGTAACTAGAGTTGACACCATTTTCAATTTGGAGTTTAATGGAAACAACAATTTAGTAGTGGAATATATTCATTAAATAGCCTTATTAATTATTATTTAATTATTAATTATTAGTGTTTAGTGTTCAATCAATTATTATTAAATTAATGATAAAAAAATTATTACTGCTTTATTTTCAATCAATCATATTAGTGTTTGGTATTCAAAGTTTTGATAATAAAATTAAGAAACACTATAATGAATTTGTGGAAATTAGCTTGCTAAAAGAGTTAAGTGGAAGAATTCCTTGTCTTTTCTGAACTAACTAATCAAGAGTGACCCTTTATATAATTTTGATATTAAATGTAAAAATTAGAAATAAAAATAAAAACATATTTTTTTAAAGTAAACAAGCTTAACAGAGAGACTTTTCCTTTTAATATACTTTTTTTTAGCTATTTAAGTAATATCTTCTATTTTTACTTACTTAAGATAGAAATTATTTATTTACAATATGATTTCTTATCTTTACCTTATCAAATTTTCAAAACTTTCCAAAATTACATATAATCTTCAATTGATTTTTTTTTTCTTGAAATGATTTCAAAATCACACATAGATTTATATCATTACATTTATCGATATAAAAATTATGCAAAATAGTTATACTCTGAAAATTACAAAAGAAAATTTCATACGCAGAAATCCAGATTATTCTGAGAAAAGATTAGTAAAATGTTAATTAATGAACAAATTTATTCTAGTAAAATTTTAAACAAATTGATACACTTCTGAAATCGGTGTTGTACATAACCAAATTTTCACCTCTAAATAACACATGGTATATTTATTAAATAAATAAAAATTAAGAATAGATTATTTAATGAATAGAAATAGCCTATTAATATACAATTTTGTTCTTTTAAAAAAAAATTCCTTAATTGTTGACTTTTTTTATTCGTTGTCTAAACATCTTGTCATGGCTTCACAATCAGGGAGAAATAATATAACATTCCATTGATCGATTGTAAAAAAGGTAGAAAGATAAAGAAAATAAGTAATACAAAAGTTAATAGGAACAATTTTTTTGAGCCATATAAATTTGGTTTTTCTGGATTAAACGGATTGAATTCATGTAGTGTTGGACCTCTAAATCACTGGTGTTCCTACCACACGGGTTTATCATTCAACTAAAACATATCAACATTACTAAGAAAAATATATATTTTTATATTGTTTAAGAAAAAATAAATATTTTAAGAGACATGCAGCAGAAAGTTGGTATATACTTAACAATTTTCTTTTCCTTAACTATATAAAAAAAATATAATTTTCAACTATAAAGAATATTTTTTATGATTTTGGAGACTGTTGGTGAAACAAGTCCATTGAACTTTATCAACAAACTTCAAGGTGCCAATGGTGATGAGGAAATCTACCATCAGCACTGCTAGTGAACCAAGTCTGATAAGAAAAAGTCTCATGAACTTTGGTGACTAAAAACAGAAAATTTTTCTTTGTTTATTATCATCTATGATAGTTGGTGTTGAACGAAGGGATAGAAGAAATCTTATTCCTATGAAACGTTGATTGAAATGAATGTTTGAATGCTACAAAAATATATGAAATTACCGACGAAATTTCATTGACGAAATTATTTTTGTCGATAAATGATGTATTACTGATGGATTTTATCGACAAATGTAAAAATGTAATTATCGACGGATATTTGTTCTTCAGTAATTAGACGGACAAAATATGTTGATAATACATATTTTAGTTACCGACGGTCAAAATTCGTCGGTAAAAAGAGCAGTAAAATTTCCACCCATTTTTTCTCTCTCTACGCGAAGAAAACTATATTTTTCTATCTTACAAAACACTTTCGTCATTTTTTCTTTCCTCTCATCTCAAGACCATTTCTCACCTTCTCTGCAACAATTTTTCTCTCTAGTGCAACCATCTTCCCACACTACCACCGCTGTCGTTGGAGAGTGCCACCGCTGCCGTTGCAGAGCGCCACTGCTGCCGTTGAAGAGCGCCACCGCTGTCGTGGGAGAACGCCACCACTGCCGTGGGAGAACCACGCGGAGCGCCACCGCTGTCGTTGAAGACCGTCACCGCTGTCGTTGGAGAGCAACACCGCTGCCGTTGGAGAGCGTCACTACTGTTATTGGGGAGCGCCACCGTTGCCATGGGAGAACGCCACCCCTGTCGTGGGAGAACCACTGCCGCCGGAGAACCATGCGGAGTAATGCTGCCGCCGGGATGCTAAAAAACTAATTGGGGATTTTTCCCAATTTTAGGGTTTCTAAAACAATTGGAGAACCTAACTAGAGCCTTTGCTTTTGGTTTTGGAATGAATTGGATTGTTGTTTTGATTTAGGAATGAAGAAAGTTTGATAAAAAAAATTAAAATCTGAGAAAACTGAAGAAGGGGAAAGAGGAAGAAGATGAACCAGATCGAGATATTTACCGACAGACTTACCGACAGCTTTTTCCTTCGATAATTACCAACAAATTTTTGTGATAATTACTGACGAATTTGACCTTCGATAATTACCAACGGCCATAATAATCCATCGATAAATATTACCGACACGTTATTATCGACGGACCAAACTCTGTCCGTAAGCCGTCGAAAAAATGACATTACCGACAGATTTTGGTCGTCGGTAATAATTGTTATTTTGTAGTGGAAGGGATAAATCTCATGATAGAAAATATGAAGATGTACAAAGAAAACATGGGAAAAAGAAGGTTAAAAATGCATAGTTCATGAATTCAATGATGGTGGGTCTTGCAAAAAGGTGGAGGTGATATCTATTATAAACTTTGTTGTCTCAATATCCGTAAGGAATGGAGGGTAATGGATCTATATATTGGTCTTTGTCATAATAGCAACATTATAAATTTTATTCAAACTAAATAGCAAGTTTTTCTCTAATTATACTGGTCATGTTTATTGTTACATAAAAATTTGTTAAAAATTTGTCGAGAATAATAGGAACAGAAATGATGAATGGTTATGAGAAGCATATGAATTTAAATTAAAAAAGTACATAGTAAAATGGTATAAACAATATTATAAATTAAATATTCTATAAGGTATATTAATTACGTTCATTAATTATCATGTTTATTATCTTAACATTTTCAAAACTAGAGGAGCAACTAATGCCTTCTTCACAGCAGGAGGAGCTCGTCGAGGCACCCCTTCATTGACAGCATTATAGATACTTCACTCTCTAAACACTAGAAGGTCGTCACCCTAGATCGGGTTGACGACAACATTGACCCTAATAAGAATATTGTCATATATATATTACTCAAGTCAGTTTCTACTTAATTGATGATGTTGTCATATGCAAGACTTTCCTATGACCTTGAAAGGATCTGCTCTGGAGTGGTTCACCGATTTACCCTGTACTCTATCAACTACTTTGATACCTTGATATCATCTTTCAAGACACAATTTGCCACTAGCCTGTAGGTATTAGCGAGTCGCGCAATAGAGTAAAAAGCGATTTAAAGAGCAGAAAGTGTGTAGCGGTCAATAAACAAGATATAATGGTCTGTTTTAAAAATTTTATTTTCTTAGAGAACTTTTATCAAACGGATGGTGTGCTAAAAGTTTAAAGAGTGTAGGNGTATATTTATCCAATTTGGTATGAAATAACTGATGAACAGGGACAGCACATGTCCATTTTTGACGGCATGATAAACATAAGTGATGCATACCTTCTCTAAGCTGTGCTTCTTGCTCTAAAGCCTCTAGACGCAGTTTGAGTTCCTTATTCTCTGCAGTTAAATCTGTGGTGTCTCTCTGCATCATATGAGAAATTGATAAGTTTTCTGCTTGTTTCTACTTTCCCTTGTGTACGAAATAGAATTTAACTGAAATACTAAGAGAGTAATGGTATGTAGTAAAAAATAGTTTGATTGAATTCAGACAAACTTTGCTAAGCTTCAAAGGGGGTGTCAGATTCGTTCAAGTGGACGGGACCATTCATCATCCAAAAGTCAAATGCAAAGGCACCAATTTAAGTTTTGAGACAAAAGAAAACAGGGAAACCTAGCGGTGTCAGATAACTGGAGAATTACCTATTTACCATATCTATAATCTAGAATAAGTAGCTTGGAAACATCTAAACCATCATTCCAACAAACAACAACTACAACAATTAAGCCTTATCCAACTGCCTCCTGAGGTAGGCTAAATGGATCAACTGATGCCTTGGGGCAGTATCAAATACCAATTTTTCATAACAACCTAGCACAATAGAAAACTTGAACCAAAGAGAAGGATGTTAACTAGGTTATGCTTATCCTGGTTAATGTTTGGTGAAGGAAGACTGCAATTGGCAGAGCTCATGAATTTAAGGTCACCCTAGCAGATTATTACACAGCTGTTAACTGGAAAAAAAAATGTCCCCTCTTCTACAATCATAATCTGCTATAAGCCTAAAAAAGCTACAGCAACTTTAAGTAAATATATTCTTCAATATTTTGATGCTCGATATGTTCTCTATTTGATTCAAAACACTTGATTGATCTGCATGCCCTGTTATTCTATTATATTATGAGCATCCATTCTACCATAGACACATCTTCGCGAATAACATATATGCATCAAGATATATCAGATTTTAAACATTGTTGCGTGCATGCAAGTTGCATAGCATTTCCACAGTAGCTGTGAGGATAACTCTACAACAAAAATTTCCCACAACTCTTTCAAAAAAATACCAGAACATCATAATCATCAGCCTTGCAGTTCTCAATTTATTTTTTACCCAAATTCTTTACCTAAATGAGATACAAAAGTTTTCATCACAATTCTTTATTCTTTTTCTAACAGCTATGCATATGTTTCATTACCAAATTCTTCTTTACTTTCAACTTACTTTGTTTATCACGGAATAATTTAAACAAGTATAGCCCCAGTATTGAATAATCAGTTATGACTTCCCATATGATTGGAACGTATGCACCAAGAATCATTTCATGCTTGTGTTATTGTAATCAAAATAAAGCCTATATTTTGGTTGCCATATAACCCGCAGCCACAGTTTAATGATTTACTAGTCCCTCTGATAAAACACTAATTTTTTGATGAAATATAAGATAAAAATGTAAATGATTTCAGAAGACATTTGAAGACCAACAAGCAATATATCCACTGAGGTCTGCTCTCTGGTAATTTGGTCCTTCTAATTTAAGATATTTATGTATTAGGAGCAAAGTGCAACGGTAAATTTCCTCAAACTGCCACAGTCATCCCTTGAAGTAGAAAGTAAATGAAAATTGAAGCGTGCATTGTCTTTGATTTCTTTCCATATGACAAAAAAAGTATAAAATCTAGATGAGCATGGTATAATTGTCAAAAGGGATTTTACTGTGTCACACGTAAATTATAAAATCTATGAGGGATGTTCTGTAATAAGAACAACATGAAAGTGATGACATATATAGTAATTTTATCCAAACCAAGGAAAACTTTGAAGATATAACAAAATTTTAGTAATAACTTTGCATTTAAAAAAAGGGCCCTTGATTATGTGTGGGATCCATAAACTGTTGAGTTTGTGACCACACAACTCAAGATCAGCATAAAGTAAACCTACATCGATGCTAGTGTGTTGGGGGGCTCCATCAAACACTGACAAGAACAAGTTACCAAATTCATGCTTATTCATCAACACGAAAAAAGAAAGGACATACCTGAAGCATGGTAAGCTGTGCAGATAGGTTGGTTGCTTCAGTCTGAAGTGTCTGCACCTTCCTCTCCAATTCACTGGTGTAACGAATCTTCCTCTCCTTTGATCTAGCAGCAGATTGTCTGTTAGCAAGAATCCTGCAAACAGAACAACATTCCAAATCCATACCATCAGTGCATCAAACTAATCATTTTCTCCCAGTTTTCCACAATCCATACACCCCTTAACACAATTTTTCTTACTGTAGTAAGAAAAAAAGAAGATAAAGAATGCTGTAATTCCTATTTCCTAACAACCTAATTATCCAGCAGAAAATTGTGCATTACAAAATAAAAGGCAGGCATAACAACTTAATAAAAAATATGACAACACCAGTGCATCATCAATCAGATAGCGTGTTAATAAAAATTCTGCAAACACATAAAACATCCCAAAACCATAATCAGTTCATCTAACCAAGATTTCTTAATCAGTTTCCTCACAATCCAAAACACCCCTTTATGATAATAATAACATGGTTTTCACAACCACCATAAGCCTCTGACTCTTTAGTAGGACCTCATATGTCCACAAGTTTCAATCCTTTAAATAAGACGAATCATCAGTGCAGGATATTGGTGACACTTCTTGCAACACCCCAAATATAATAAAACATCACATAATTTGGAACCATATTATTTTCAGCAAAAAACAACTTATGTGAAACTATCAAATAAAAGAAATACATAACATATAAATGAAATTGCGCTTAAATTTATTACCATAAAAACACCAAGAACACAAAAAAGAAAAAGAAAACGAACCTCTTAGCTCTTTTGGGATCAATAAGAGCGAGTTCAGCTAGTTTATCAGGAGCCATAGCTTTCTTCACGCCATCTATCATCATCGCCGAGTCCGCCTCAAACGACGTCGTCGAGGACCCGTCCATGGAGTTGCTGTGCCGGTGATGCCCCACCCTCCGCTCGCCGCCGCCCCTCCCTCCGCCGCCCCTCTCCTCGCCGCCGCCGAATCCGATCCCGTCAAAGAAATCGGAGCCCACCGACAGACTCCTCAGGTGCCCGCCGGCGGGTGCCCCTGAAGGCCTCGGCCTTCCGCCGGACTCGTCGGAATCTACCGCTATCGGCACCGCGCCGGAGGCCCCCGGCGAAGGCAGAGGGAGCGGCGAGGGGAGCGTGGAGATGTCGAGGTCGGAGGCGTCGAAGAGGAGCAGGTCATCGAAGTTCGCGGCGAAGCGGAAGGACGTGTCGGAGTGGGAGCGGCGGTGGTGGGACCCACGCTCCGGCATGCGTTCAAGGTCCACCGTCAGCGGCGGCTTTCCGGTGAACTTCGGGTCCATCGAAGTAAGAATAAAAATCCAATCTTTCTTTCTCTTCTTCCTTTTCTTTCTTGGATTGTTATTTGTTTTTGTTCTTGTTGGTGTTGGTGATGGTGAAGAGAGAGAAAGAAGAAGAGGGTTGTTCAGGTGGTTGTTGGGTTGTGGTTGTGTGTGAGTTTGCTGAAGAACAAGTGGAAGCAGACAAGAAATTGACTTTAGTGAGCAAAAGTTGAGGAAGTTGTGTGAAGGCAGTGGTCTCAAAGAGCATCATTAGTGTTGGGATTAGAGATATCTGACGGCAATGTTCATTGGTGGCGTAACTAGAGTTGACACCATTTTCAATTTGGAGTTTAATGGAAACAACAATTTAGTAGTGGAATATATTCATTAAATAGCCTTATTAATTATTATTTAATTATTAATTATTAGTGTTTAGTGTTCAATCAATTATTATTAAATTAATGATAAAAAAATTATTACTGCTTTATTTTCAATCAATCATATTAGTGTTTGGTATTCAAAGTTTTGATAATAAAATTAAGAAACACTATAATGAATTTGTGGAAATTAGCTTGCTAAAAGAGTTAAGTGGAAGAATTCCTTGTCTTTTCTGAACTAACTAATCAAGAGTGACCCTTTATATAATTTTGATATTAAATGTAAAAATTAGAAATAAAAATAAAAACATATTTTTTTAAAGTAAACAAGCTTAACAGAGAGACTTTTCCTTTTAATATACTTTTTTTTAGCTATTTAAGTAATATCTTCTATTTTTACTTACTTAAGATAGAAATTATTTATTTACAATATGATTTCTTATCTTTACCTTATCAAATTTTCAAAACTTTCCAAAATTACATATAATCTTCAATTGATTTTTTTTTTCTTGAAATGATTTCAAAATCACACATAGATTTATATCATTACATTTATCGATATAAAAATTATGCAAAATAGTTATACTCTGAAAATTACAAAAGAAAATTTCATACGCAGAAATCCAGATTATTCTGAGAAAAGATTAGTAAAATGTTAATTAATGAACAAATTTATTCTAGTAAAATTTTAAACAAATTGATACACTTCTGAAATCGGTGTTGTACATAACCAAATTTTCACCTCTAAATAACACATGGTATATTTATTAAATAAATAAAAATTAAGAATAGATTATTTAATGAATAGAAATAGCCTATTAATATACAATTTTGTTCTTTTAAAAAAAAATTCCTTAATTGTTGACTTTTTTTATTCGTTGTCTAAACATCTTGTCATGGCTTCACAATCAGGGAGAAATAATATAACATTCCATTGATCGATTGTAAAAAAGGTAGAAAGATAAAGAAAATAAGTAATACAAAAGTTAATAGGAACAATTTTTTTGAGCCATATAAATTTGGTTTTTCTGGATTAAACGGATTGAATTCATGTAGTGTTGGACCTCTAAATCACTGGTGTTCCTACCACACGGGTTTATCATTCAACTAAAACATATCAACATTACTAAGAAAAATATATATTTTTATATTGTTTAAGAAAAAAAAAAATATTTTAAGAGATATGCAGCAGAAAGTTGGTATATACTTAAGCAATTTTATTTTCCTTAACTATATAAAAAAATATAATTTTCAACTATAAAGAATATTTTTTATGATTTTGGGGACTGTTGGTGAAACAAGTCCATTAAACTTCATCAACAAACTTCAAGGTGCCAATGGTGGATGAGGAAATCTACCATCAACACTGGTAGTGAACCAAGTCTGATAAGAAAAAGTCTGAAGAACTTTGGTGACTAAAAACGGAAAATTTTTCTTTGTTTTTTCTCATCTATGATCGTTGGTGTTGAACGAAGGGATAGAAGAAATCTTATTCCTATCGAACGTTGATTGAAATGAATGTTTGAAGGGACAAATCTCATGTAGAAAATATGAAGATGTACAAAGAAAACATGGGAAAAAGAAGGTTAAAAATGCATAGTTCATGAATTCAATGATGGCGGGTCTAGCAAAAAGGTGGAGGTGATATCTATTATAAACTTTGTTGTCTCAATATCCGTAAGGAATGGAGGGTAATGGATCTATATATTGGTCTTTGTCATAATAGCAACATTATAAATTTTATTCAAACTAAATAGCAAGTTTTTCTCTAATTATACTTGTCATGTTTATTGTTACATAAAAATTTGTTAAAAATTTGTCGAGAATAATAGGAATAGAAATGATGAATGGTTATGAGAAGCATATGAATTTAAATTAAAAAAGTACATAGTAAAATGGTATAAACAATATTATAAATTAAATATTCTATAAGGTATATTAATTACGTTCATTAATTATCATGTTTATTATCTTAACATTTTCAAAACTAGAGGAGCAACTAATGCCTTCTTCACAGCAGGAGGAGCTCGTCGAGGCACCCCTTCATTGACAGCATTATAGATACTTCACTCTCTAAACACTAGAAGGTCGTCACCCTAGATCGGGTTGACGACAACATTGACCCTAATAAGAATATTGTCATATATATATTACTCAAGTCAGTTTCTACTTAATTGATGATGTTGTCATATGCAAGACTTTCCTATGACCTTGAAAGGATCTGCTCTGGAGTGGTTCACCGATTTACCCTGTACTCTATCAACTACTTTGATACCTTGATATCATCTTTCAAGACACAATTTGCCACTAGCCTGTAGGTATTAGCGAGTCGCGCAATAGAGTAAAAAGCGATTTAAAGAGCTGAAAGTGTGTAGCGGTCAATAAACAAGATATAATGGTCTGTTTTAAAAATTTTATTTTCTTAGAGAACTTTTATCAAACGGATGGTGTGCTAAAAGTTTAAAGAGTGTAGGAGGAGAAAATCAACACAAAATTTTTATCCTGTTTCGAATCAAAAGATTATATGTCCAGTCGTTAATCACTATAAATAGTGATTAACTTTTTCACTAAAATATTGTTTCATAGATTACAATAATATAGAATAAAGAGTAAGAACAGAAAACATTTTCCTTCGACAAACGAATGAAGAACCTTCCTTCGAAAAACTAACCAAAAGAAAACTACTCAGCTAACTTGAAGATAACCTCTCCGACCTTAAACACACTAAGTGCGAGCTTCTCCTATTCACAAGACTTGACAAGAGCACACTATCACTTGAGAACTTCCTCAGAAAATCTCTGTATTCTCAAATGGCATAGATTCCTTTTCACTCTTAGAGAACTTCCCTTAGGCACCCAGCTCTAATACTCTATGTTGATAGGGGGAGCATAGTGTTAGCTAAACTCAATCCCTGTGATGGTGGTTTTTGATGATGACAACACATTGTTAATAAAAACACATGTGTAAGTACTGTGTGATATATATGTTGAATGTGTACATGCTTATTGTGTAATATGCACGTATTGTGTTTGTCACATTTATTGAACATATTCTATTGATTGATGCATACTATTGTGTTTATGAAGGGATTATATTTGTGTATGCATAATACATGTTTTGGTGATACGAAAACCACAAGCACAAAAACATATCTGCATGACTAAATCAATTATAGTGGAATGATAATCAATTAAAGTCATCAGAAAGCTTGAGTTTTAAATTGTGGTAAAACAACTAGTTTTGAATTGATTACATTAGTTGGTGAATTGATTAAAACTCGTGTCTTTGCATATATCTTTTGCAAAATGTGCTGTGATGTGTTTTGGAAAGAAAAGTTTTCAAAAATCTTCTAAGTGTTAAAGCTTAATCGATTATGTGAATTGTGTATTCAATTAAGTCTGTTAAGATTTGAAAACTGATTTCATATGGTCATAATTGCTATAACGGTCGTATTTTTAAATATGTTTGACCAGCATTTAATGGAAATCGATTGTATTAATTGCGTATTCAATTAAGGAGCCAAATTGGTTGTAATTCTATTATACCTATTTAATGTAACCGATTACGTAAGTTGACTAATCGATTTCATAGCGTCAGGATTGACAAAAACTATATATTGACGCATTGATTAGTTTTCTGTAAGATAATTGAGAATTACACTTTCATATCTGATTGATATTTGTTTGAGAAGTTTTATAGAGTGATCAAAAAGCTCCAAGAATCAAGA